TTGCCAGAGCTGCAGCAAGTATTACTACTGCTAAGTTCAAATGTTTGTAGCATGAAGTGAGAGGAGCGTAAGAAAACAAATACTCATTGGCCTCCAACTTGGCACGTACAATGTGTGTGGGTGATGCTGGGAACAGAGTTTCAGGGAAGTGGATATTTGAGGGCTTAAGGAAAGCCTTATTGGATAACTATGAGTTTTAGCAATAGGGTCTTACTCTCTCTATATATTTCTGTATTTCTTGCCTATATCTCAACTAGGTTGGGTTTTGGTGTCCAGATGACAGCTGTGTGAAAGATTACTATGTCAGAATTATGCACAAGGGACTACTGTATCATTTCTTATTCACTTCAGATCCACAGAGTTAGATCAAAGCAGTTAATTAAAGTAAGTCCAGATGATGTCTTAAGTGAACAACAGAAAGTTTAAATGTAATATTTAGATCAGTGGTTTCAGTGGTCAGATACAACATGAGGCTGCAAAGCTGGTTTACAGCCAAGATTATACCACAGCTTGGCCAAACAGTAGGTCAGGCATTATTCTGGGGGAAGACTGAGCAGGGGATTTTTGCACCTCTTTGTTCAGCAATGGCATCACAGCAGTTGAAATTGTGCTTCAGTTCTGTCTGTAGGAAGCATAACCAGGCAGCTTTATTTTTAAAATTATATCCTTCCTGTATCCTGTCAAGGGAGTGGAAGATGAATTTGAGGGGTAGATGGTTGGAGAATCATAATTTTCTTCTCTGTTTTCTGATGGCATTATTAGAGAATCCGTCAAAAAATGGATGACTTAATCAGGACAGATCTGGCATTTTTAAATGTGAAGCTTTTCTATCATAACCATTTTTTTTTTGTTGATAACACTAGGAGAACCATTACTGGCAGCAAATGGTTATTCTCCTTGTAATTCTTTACACGAATTGCCAAGTGTTCTGGGAAAAATAAATGTATCATTACCTCTTTTGACACCACACTGCTGTGTTGATCTCTAGGGGAGATGATATGATTTACATACTCAAATGTTTTGCTTTAGTGTGAAATAGTGTTTTACAATCTTGCAGCTGTTAATAGCTGTTACGATGATCAAATAACACAATGGGAGTTGGTAGTTAAGAAGGAAGCAATACCAAAAGAAGGACAATTATTAATATTTAGGTTTGGATTAATTTAGAAATTCTGTCAACCAATTGCAATCCAGGGAGATCATTTGCAGTTTCAGACTTGATATTCTAATTCTGTTTCACGTAACAAATCCATTAATATTCCAGTCTTCCACAAGCATATTACCCCCATATATTACCAACTTGCAGATGAAAGAAGTCTTTTTTTCCTTAATGGTCATAACTTTTGGAGTGTTCACCCTTTTCGTCCCATTGGTTTCCAGCACCCAGGGGGGTTGGGTCTCTGGGGGAAGTGTAAAAGACATTGGAAGAAAATGGGAACAGAGAAAGGAAATGGTTTTATGTAAGGCAGCATGTATCCGAGAGCTTCCTTGAAGTCATTATCTGTCACGAGGGTTTCTCTTGGGTTTCCCCCCCCTACCAGTTCCATATTGGTGTAAGCAATAGTTTTATTTTGAAACATGAACCTAGGGAATGATGCAGTCAGTCACAGGGTATTTATCTTCACAAAGTAGTTTCTGAAACGGAGGGTGTATTTGTGGGCTCTCTGTTCTCTTTTTTTTCTTCTTTTTTTTTTTTTCCCCTGTCCCCTCTGTCACACGGGGAATTTATTTGGGATAAGTTGAAATTATTAACTGACATTGCAAAGCCCCCTATCACAGCTTTATTTAAAAGCCAAGTGTTTGGAAAGCAGCGTTCAAGGTAACCCACTTCCTGGCGGCCCTGAAACCTAGGCTCTGCTTTTGTTTCACACAAACAAACTGCACTGTACTTTCAAATGAATTTGGCACATATAATGTCTGACTCTTTGATAACTGCACATGTCCATATAGTTGTTTATATTGACCAGGGTTAGTGCTCACCCAAGCAGAAACAATACAGCGCTGTTATCTAGGCCTGTCTCTGCAAACTGTTAATTATTGCATTGTTAGCTCTGAAGTATGTTGGGATTAGTATTTCTGTAGTAGTACCTGAGAGGAAGTATACTATGGTAGTACTTAGTTGCAATTACTGCAGACAGTTTTATGTGCCCTCACTGTTAAAATTAGCTTAGAGAATAAAACTGAAGCTGTCTGCACAGCACAATCAGAAAGTGCTGAAGTTACCATAGAGCAGGTTTGGAAGCTGATGAAACCCCAAACCCTGAGCTCAACAAAACCTCAAGGCTCAAGTGGTTCCTTTAGCTATTGTTCCTTTGCCCAACAGGCAAAGTTGAAATTAATTTCTCCTGAACTAAAGTTAATTGAGTTAATTTAGAGTAGACATAATTATTACATAGTAAGATTATTCCTTCAAAATGTAGCTCTTGCCTATCCTTCATTACCTTGACTCATGAAGCATTTGGCAGATTTTTTTTATTTTTTAATATTTATCAAATCAACTAATATGCTGTCCCAGTCTTTGTTTTACCAAAGCTCTAAGCCCTGGATCCAACCTAAATGAGAACATATGTAAAAAACAAAAGTAAATGACACTTTTTCCTTGCTGGTCAAAAAACACTCGGAGTGCCAAAGATTAAAAGCATCGTATAAAACCCTGTAGAATTAGTTAAGGGGACCCTGCATTGTGCCGCAAGTGTTTTGCATTCAGAACCTCAGGCAGAATAGCTGTAATTATTCTTCGGAGTGCTAACAAGGGTGCTGTGGTATTTTAGTACAGATATGCAAAATTTCTGTTTTCATGCTCCGGTCTGCTGTCGAGGAGCTGCTCAGGTAACTGCATCTCATCTGGGCAAACTGTGTGCCTGGCTCACGACAGTTGAGTGTTATTGACGTCTCAGCAATGGGAACCTGCACTTTACACTGAAACGTAGGATGCATGTCACGCTTTGAGGCATGAAGTGTGAACCTCAAAGCTCACATCACATGGTGCCTTGGCTAGTCAGAGAGAGATCTCCCTTGAAGATTAGCTGCTGTTAGCTGGAGAGGTGGCAGAACGTCTTCATTTGGACCTTGGACCTGTAGAAGATAATATTGATTTACACTTGTGGTACTGGTAGTCTTTTTTTTCTTTTTGCTTCTTAACCACATCAAGCTTTACTGTTTCTCTTTTAAAATATTTATATTGTGAAAGCAAACCTATGAGTGGCTTAAATTTTATCTGTTACTGTAGGTCAGGAAATTGACTGGCAATTGCAATACCAAAATGACTGGCTGTATTTTGCTTGCACTGCTCAAATTGTGTTGGAGTTCTTGTTCTGTTTGCTTTGCAACTTGAATCAAAGTTCATTGCAACAGTGGGGGGAAAAAACAAACGTTCTTTCAGATTATATGACTTAATATATCTGCCTTGCTTTCTCTGCCTGTCTATGTGTATACATTGACTACTGGTTTGAAACTATTCTAGCACAACTCTCCTTAAGTATCTACTATTATCGACACAATCAAAACTCACAGAAATTCTTTTCTAGCCTCAGTGAATCGGTATATGCAAAATGACTGAAAAAAAAAATAATTGTATGTGTGCAAGTCCTACTATTTCCAGGCAGGAGACAAATAAGTTGACATTAAGGGATACTTATTGAGGGCATATTACAGTATGTAAAATATGGCTAATAGGCTTTTAAACGTACAGCAGCTTCTAAACGTCATTTAGCTTCTTCGGTGGAAACTTCACTGTTGTAAAAGCAAGAGCTAATAAATCTGGCGTGCGTTCATTTTTGGGGCTAAACTGACATCTGCTGGTGTTGTGTAATACAATACGCGCGATGAGTGCGATGACACAAGGCAGGCAATATTCCGTGTACATTTCCATTTGGGTGACGCTGTGGGCAGCCCCGCTGGTGACTCAGCAGGGTGGGGACACACGTAAGAGCCAAACACAGCGGGTGGGGCTGCCTGGCACCTCCTGGCACCGGGCAGGGGACAGCATTCTGCATCTGGAACGACTTCCCGCTTCTGAAATGGACATCTGGCCTTTTTTCTTCTATTACGTTTTTTTGGTTTTTTTTTAAACAAATTATAATCTACAGAACAAAAATATTCTAATCGGTACACAGCTCACGGGGAGGGGGGCAGAGATTAATAAAGATTTATCTTGATTTCCAGCATGCAGTGAGCAGGTGCTGCCCGTGTGCCCACCCGTCACTTGGTCTATGGCAGGAAGAGAACTCCTGTGGTTGCTCCAGGGAAGCTGAGTGGGTTTGCCCAGCCCAGCTGCAGCTCAGGGATGCTGTGGTGGCCTGGCCAGCCACAGACTGGCTAAAGCTGATGCTTCTTTAACCCAGTGCCAGCCAGCAAAGGACTGGAGAGGGAGGAACTGGTGAATGGTGAGGTAGGCAGGAAGGAGGCGAGGTAGTGAGAGGAAATATGCTCATGCGCTGGTAAATGGACACTGAGTGCCTGCTGTATTTGGACATCTGGTGGAAACAGTGGTAGGGCAGAAGGGAGCAATGTTTCTGGGGTCCCCAAGGAGGAGTAAAAGCTGTAGCATGAGCCAGCCTTTGAGTAGATGTAAGCAAATCACACAGGAGAGCTTTGCACTTGGAATAAGAAGGCTTCCAGCTGAAGGTCATGTCTTATTTCACCCTGGGAGATGTGTTCAGTCGTGGCTTCTCTCTCCTGTGGTTTCTAAGCTGCTCATAGACAGCTGGGGAAGGGGATTTAGTTGCAAAGAGAACAATTATTCCAATTTTTGTTAAGCCGGGGCACCAAAGCCAAAATTACTGCTCCTGAGAAAAAGATCATAATATATATGTGGTTTCTTGGTAATGATGAAAATGTATTCACCTCCAAGTCTAGCTCTGCTCTCAGGTTCAAATGCTAACTCACAGGAAGGGCTGAATGCTGCTCAATGAACCCCCTTCTTCTCCCCAGATCAGGGGATTGGCAGCATTCATGCTGCCAGAGCCCTCGTACCCCACACCTGGTGAAAAGCCCTGTACCTGAGTACCTGTACCTGCAGGCGGTTCAGTAGATTGCTGTGACTGCAGAGCTCTCCGTTGGGCTTATTGCCATTTGGAGTAAGAGCCCCTTTTGTCCTATGAAACCTGAATCCTGGCTCTGGGATGGGTTTGAATTGAAGCTTTATACATGTTCCTTAGGACGAGGTCCAAGAGAGGATTTAAACACAAAAATAGGTCTTTAACGGATTTTAGATGCTTTCAGCCAAAAGGCCTAACGTGCAATCCCTGCTGAGCCCTCAGGGGTTATTGACTCCCTTCAGTCTAAAGTAGATTAAAGCACTTAAATACTAGCTCTGGCTAACTGGTTCACCTAAACTATAGAGGGTGAAGCAATCCTAGTTGAATTCCTTTCAGGGATTTGGCCAGTAACTCACTTTTTGTCTTTGAGCTGTTGCGTTGGATAGAGGAAGCAGCGACTCTAATACTCTGTATTTTCAGAAGACTGAATCCAATTTAATTGCCTGTAAAGGCACTAGTTAAAATCACTGCATCTGTTAAAGGTTCCTTTGATCATTTTACATTTCCTCGCGTGCGGTGTTGTCTGAAATAACTCATCTTGGTAACGTAAGGAGTTTGGTAGAATTGAGGGGGAGGGTGTTTTCCTCCAGCGCTACGAAACGTGGAGTGCGGTGACGCCGGTGCCGGGGAGTGGCAGAGCAGTTGTGGGTCGCTGAGTAAAGCCTCTCGGCAGGAGCGGCGGAGTTCCCCGACAGCCCGGACGGCCCGTTGCGGGGGCGGGAGGGTCACGCCGCTCCGCGTCGGGCACTTTTGCGCTTCCACCGACTTTTTCTTCCCTCCTCCTTCCCTTCTCCTCCCCTGGCCGCTCCCAGGTGCGGGCAGGCGCCGGCTCCTCTCGCAGTCCGGCCGGGGAGCGGGCGAGTGCCGCCGGTAGGTGCGGGGCAGCGGGGCTGCGGGCAGGGCCTGTCCCGGGCCCGGGGTGGGCGCGGCGGGCTGTCCGCCCCCAGGCCGCCCCCCGCGGGCGGTTCTCGGGGGAAGGGGCGGGGGAAGGTGAGGGTGGGGACGGGACGAGCCGTTGCTCCGCTGCCGGCGGCTGAGCTCTGCCCTGCCCCGCTCCTGTGTCCCGCGGCGCCCGGGCAGGGCCGGACACTCCCGGCCGGGACGGGCTAGGGGGGTCCCCCGGGCGCTGGGGGGAAGCTGGGGCTTGGCGGGACGGTGAGGAGCCGGCCCGGGAGAGGCCGCGGGCGAGGCCGGAGCATGAGGGAAACGAAACCCAACTGTTGCGGGGGCAGCCGGGTCGGGCGGAGCGTCCCTGCCCTCGGGGAACGGGCTGGAGAGCGGCGCGGCGGCCCTTCGGGGCTGAACGGCCCCGGGGAAGGGGTTTGCCGGGCTCGCCAGCAGCCGGTGGAAGGGGTGGTTATTCCGAGAGGGTTATTGTTTGGTGAAAGTAACATAGGAAATCTCTGCTGCTGGGGAGAAGGCACTGCGTAGTGCCGTTTCTCTTTTGTTAGTGTAAAAGTTCAGTGTGACCCGAATGGCATTGGTTGTCTGACTGAAATAATAAGTCTTTTTTGTAACTATTGTCTCACGAACACCTGGGAAATTTACACAACTTTAAGATAATATTTTTTCAGCAGGTTGGTAAACTAGGAAGTTACTGTCCGGAGTTCAGATAACCAAGATGGTGGGTGGCCCAAGCGAGTGCTGTGTTACCGCTCCCTGCTCTGCACTGCAAAAATCCCGAGTGCTCTGAGAAACCTGTATATCCTGCCTGATTGTTTAAAAAAAAGATTAGCCTTCAGCTTGTGTTTCGTTCTAGGTGCTGCTGATGAGCAGCTGTCTTAAACTCTGCTGTGCAGGGAGCCTCTGTAATTACCTGTGGTGTTGGTGAGCAATTTGGGATTTCTAGTGAAGAGGACTGAGTAGGAATTGTTTAAGGTGTTAAATCATATCAATATTTAGCAAGAGATAAAGAGTAAAAGGAGGGCAACAACGTATTTGCTTGGCTAAGCTGGGTTAGCAAAGCTGTATTTGTAAGCAATTCTTTTCAGTTTTGGTTTGGGTTTTTTTTTTTCAATACCAAGCAGAGAGGTGGGTTTTTATCTTCTCTTTCTCTTGTTTCCTGGCAGATCTTCAAGTAGTGCCCAGGATTGTGAGACACATGATTGCACTGGCTTTATGAAGTAATAGTTCAAATAACTCATCAAAGTTGACATTTAAAGCAGAAGGAACATCAGCAAAACTCAGTTGAAAAGCTGAAGTTGTGGTTAAATCCACAAAACTCAGTATTTTGCAGAGATTGCTTTGTAGTATTGATGTCATCTTGTTCTTATTAGGAATGTCTGTTTTGATAGATAAATTAAAGGGATTGATACTTGGTTTTAGTTTTATACCATTCACTGTAGTACTTGGGAAATGTTACCTGTGCTTCAGATCTGAAACTTTAACTTTAAAAAAAGAAAAGGAAGCACAGAAGAGGTGGTTGCCATGCCAGGGATGGCCCCAAGCGCTGCAAAGACCTGAGACTTGTTTGCATCTGCCTTCAGGAAGGGGAAAAAAAAAGGTGAAAAGGCAAAAAAAGGCATAGTAGTCATTTTTAAATTGAACCAGCTGTCCAAAACTAGTCAGTGGTAAGAAATGAAAAATGCAACATCATTTAAAAATAAGTATTGAATGTTAAATATCAAGACTAGAAGTGTTCATGCTGGAAATTCTTATCATTACTGTTTTGAAATCCGTGAAGGTGTGTTGATTTCTTAGAACTTGCTCTTCAGTACAGCAGAGGTGAGGATGGTCTTCGGTCGTGCAGGGTCTGCACAGCTGAAGGAGCTGTGTGTCGTGGTTCGACCCCAGCCAGCAACTAAGCACCACACAGCTGGTCACTCGTTCCCCCCACAGAGGGATGAGGGGAAGAGAGTTGGAAAGGTAAAAGGAGAAATCTCATGGGTAGAGATAAGAACAGTTTAATAATTAAAATTATAATAATTGTAATTAAAAGAAAAATAAGAAAGAAAAAAAAATGAAACCCAAGACAGACAAGTGATGCAGATAAAACAACTGCTCACCACCAACCGACCGATGCCCAGCCAGTCCCCGTGTAGCGGCTCCTCCAACCTTCCTGCAGTTTTTATGGAGGAGCGTGATGTCACAGGGCATGGGATATCCCTGTGGTTGGTCCTGGCTGCTTCTCCTCCCAGCTTTTTTGTGCATCCCCAGCCAAAACCAGCACACCGTGACTGGGGGCACAGCATTCAGCTCTGTAGTTTAGTCACAAGGGGAAACTTCTATTTTTCTAAAGGAAAAAGGAGGTCAGCGGTTTTTAAAAGTATAGATGTGGAGTATTTGATACTACAAATATAATCACAAAAACTTACTGAGTTTAGTCATCTTTGACTGCTGTTGTCTTCCCTCTTCAGTCTGCCAAAGCTGCAGTGTGAGCACGGGAATGGTGCAAGAGATCAGTGCCTGTTCTCAAAGAAGTGATCGCTTTGCACAGTTACTGTTCTGTGTACACACTGCGCCTGGAGCCACGTCTGTCCTTCAGTACCACCACCTCCTGTGTTTGTCTGAGCTACGTGGCTACTGGAAAACTCACACTGGGCTGAGTACATGATTCCCTTTCTAATAAAGCTTTCCGCATTTCTGCTTAGTCTACCGGGAAGACTGTGGGACTACTGAAATGTATAAACATTAGTAGTGTTTACTGATGTATTACCATGCCTCCAGTGCAGCAGATTAGTCTGTGTAACCTGGAAGAGTGAACAAACTTGTGACAAGTTCTTTATAAGAATGTTTACAGACTTCACTGAAATCCCAATGAAAGCTGTGTCCTGTAAGGAGGGCAGTCAGCAGTATTCCAGAGACTTTTCTGCACTCCAGGAAAGCAAAGAGGCTTGTGTCGTTGGGAAGGTTGTGTGCTGGGTCTTAGCGGTACTTTGTGTGGATGGAGTGACTCCATCCACATAATCGGATACTTAAACCTGGAATTCTTTGTGTGTGGCCTTTTGTACCTGCGAAGGTCTCCGTAGGCATCTTTCAGGTGTTGAAAGGGCTTTTTGACTTGAGAGACGTGGTCAGAAAAAGTGTAAGATTGAGAGATGCTACCTGAGGTCTGTTTTAAAACTTTAAAGAATGAGCATAAAAACATGTACAGGAAGTGGCTTGGTTGGAGAAGAGTGGTCATGGATTACAAATAAACTTGTTTATGGTGCTTAGAAATAGCACTTTGAGGTTTGCAGTCTGAAAATGTGCGTCCACAGAGCTTTAATCTTTGTAGCTGAAGGTCTAAGGGAGAGATTTTTGGATGAGAAGTGAGGAAAAGGCTGAATAAATAGCTTACCAGAGCAGGAGCCAATGACAGTTTTAGCTTACTTTTTTTCTTTTTGGTATGTGGACAAGCGTGTAGGTGGCATGTATGATAAGGAACATATGCATTGGCTGCTGACTCAGCAGGGGAATTGGCCTGTGTGGCTATAGAGGCACCGAGGGTGACTGGCTGCATAACCGAGCCCCGCGCTTGCTCAGCTGGTGTGTGGTGGTAGTTGAGTATTCATAGGTACAGTGGGGATGGGAGAAGATGGGTGATCCCAGAGGGCAGCGGTGTTGACGTGGACAGATACAGACATGACTGGTGAGGAGGCAATGTGGGCATTTTAAGACTAGCAGAGGTTTACCAGGCAGGAGGCAGTCATTGAGAATTCTAGCTGAGAAGTTACGGTAGAAGTATATGAGGTAAACATTAGGATATATAAATGCTTAAAGGATGATGTAGCCACAAGAGAAACAGGTTATGAGTTAAGGCTAAAACTTATTACAAAGTTTGGAACCATGATAGACTGGAGTTTCTAGAGCATCTGACAAAAAAGCAATAAAATCAAGCTTGTCTTAAAATGGTCTGAAATTCCTGTGTTCTCAAATAGGTATATTTACATCATGTTTTGTGAAGTAGGAAAAAAAAAAAAAGGTCAGGTCTGCTAATAGAACCCAGCTGCTTTTAGACATCAAAATACTGATCCAGAATCTGGATTCTACTAGGTTTACAACAGCATTTGGGCCAGAATGAGTGTTTAGTAGCCATATAGTTCCTATAGTTGCTGCCAGTCTCTGCACTTAGGATGAATTAGTTCTCCTCTGACCTCAATCAAGCAAGGAAGACAGCCCAGCAATTAAGGCAGTTTTCTGGAGAATTGTCTTCATTGAAGAAATCAGTAAAGCACATGTTTTGTTTACATTATGACATGTATCTTTTGTATCAGTTTTGTTATAACTTAGTATTTAGTGTATGGATAAAAACATAACTGGATCTTTATGATCTTTTTCTAGTACAGTAACCTGACTTCTTTTTTGGGGTTATTACAGAGTAATTTAGTTTGGATAAGGGATCTCCAGAGGTCATTTGGATCACCTGCCTGCTTAGGGACCTACTTAGGTGAGGTTGTTCTAGGCCCATTGACTTCATATTCTGTTACAGCTTTCTGTTCCAAAGTGTGTTTCCTGTTTCTGTTCTTGTTATGGAATTATTTACAGCCAGCTACAGTCCAAAGGGAAATTCTGTGTTACTATCTGATTGTACCTTTTGTTTGCTTCGAGTAAAAACTGTCCAGTCATAGCTTTTGTCTCCTTCCAACTCAGCCGTTCTTCACCCTTGTGTGTGTTGCCTACAGATTCTGCTGGTATTCCCAGGGGTTGCTTCCTGGACTTAAAAGATCAGATACACCAGTAATCTACAGCCAGCACCTTTCTGCTGTGTGTAACAAACGTGCAACAATCCAAGGAAGTCAAACCTCTTTTTTTTTAAAATTATTTTTAAGTGCCTGAGAGTTTCCCCCCCGCCCCAGTTCTCTCCCCACCCAGTGCAGGCTGTGCTGTGCTCTGTGCTTTGAGGCCTGCTTAGGTAATGTCTTTCCAATTGAGGTGCATAGTGTCTTGAAATAAGCTTGGGCGGTGGGGATATGTAAAGGATGTTATAGCCAGGAGAAGGATGGTTGGGAATAGAGCAGCAGGAGTCCAGAGTCTGGCAGGAGTTTCTGAGATGCTGCAAGCTTTCGGGGTTGGATGGCGATAGCAGGGAAACAGTGGCCTTGCTCTTGTGCTCCTGGCCACCGTGCACATCTTCTGGTTTTGTTCTCTGTGTTATCTGCTCTGTTGCTCAGCTGAAGCCCCTCACATGCCACGCTGTTTCTCCAGCCTTCTTCTGGCCACATTTCTCCTGCCAGCATCTCTGTTGTGCTCGCAACACGTGGTGCCTGGCACTCTGTCTTCATCCTGGATAAACGCTAGTGTGTCCCTGCTTGAGATCTGCTATCTTGTACCCAAACCTGAATGACCAAATTTGAATGTCTTGTTTATTTTCATCCAACATATATGCCATTCAATAAGAGTCCCCCCCCAAATGAAAACTGGTAAAAAATCTAAGAAAATAATAACTTCTTACGCTCTCATAAAAAGTATGCTTTCTTGAAGATATTGCCACCTTTTTCATCACTTGGATAGCCAGATACAGGATTACTTCATTTACTTGTCCATGCCTTGTCTTGCATGGCATCTTCGCTAGTGTGTTGTAAAAATTCTCTAGAAAGCAATTGGAGATAATGTGTTCATGTAAATTCACATTCAGCAACATTCCTTACAGTGGAAGATAAAAATCGACTACGTACTTCTTTTCTAAGTCATCGTGGTAAATGTGTGTAACGGAAATGTCCCTTCTCTTCCTGAGAGTGCATATATATTGATTCTGAGTTTTGGAATGATGCTGTATGAAAGTAAAAACAGATGCTCTGAGATATTTGGTCTGGTTTCATGATCTGCTTACGTTCCCTTGCCTTGGTGCTGTTGCCATTTCCCCTTGTTACTCCAGCGTTTATGCTGTTGTGTGGCTGGTGAGACTAAGGCAGTGTTGTGGCTGAAAGCTCACTCCATACTGGTAGGCAGCCAAAGTGGCAGTTTTGGTCTTTATTTTGGTAGAAATAGTCTTAGATTGATTTATAACGTTTGCTATTGCAACGTTCTAAGGATGTAAATTTACTTTGATAAAAGCAGGAAAATTGTGAATCCATACCAAACAATGAAAGTGTTCTTAGATCAAACTTTCATGTAGCTAACTGTGCTTATCTTTTATAAAAATTTCTTATGACAGACATACACTCTGATATCAACTAAAAATTATATTTTCTTTATAGTGAAGTTTGTTTTGGAAAGACTTCAAGCAAATAGAGACATGATTATTTAGTTTCAGGGGAGCTATTTAAAAGCAAGCAGGGTATTTTGGGTCTGTACCTGAATGGCTAAGGAAGATTTCAGATGAGGAAAATTGTTCTTTAAGCAAGTAAGTGTATTTGCTCTTCCATTCTTAGAAAAGAAGTACTTGCTATTCCATTAAAAGCAGGTGGTGGGCTGAGGTTTGGCTGGACAGGGAGGGATGACTACAGTTTCTTCCATCTTCTCCAGCCTCCCAGGAGCAACACTTTGGTGCATAAGTTTCTCCTTGTGTGGCGTGTCAGTGTGGGGACAGTGCAGACCTCTCTTTATTTTCCCTCCTGAGAAGGGACAGAGAGATTATCTACCCACGGTTATCCTTGAGGTGCTGGTGCTGTTACCTGTGCGCTGCTGTGGAATCCATTTCTCCCAGACTCCTGTGCAGGTCAGGAAACAAGCTGGGATTAAAAAAATTGTTGTCTAATGATTCATCTGTAATTGTTGGGTAAGGCATGAATGACTTGACTTACTCTTCCGCTTTTGACTTGTTCCCCCTCCTGTTTTTTTTTCCATTTGTCTTTGGGTAAAAGGTATTTTTCTGCATTCTTAGAATACACATTTGCATCCTGTCTTCAGAAAAAGGCTGCAGTTTTAAACTACATAATGTTCACATACCGGTCTGAGCAATATCAAAAATTCTCATAAGTTGGGGGATGTGTTGTGTGGTGAGAAAATGGTAATAAATATGTGTTCAGTTTTGGGTGTGGCAAGGACAATTTGTAGTTACGGTGATTATCACTAGGTGAAGATGCATGAATGGCATGTGAGCCAGACTCTGAGCCTGACTGGTCTGCATCATGAATGGAGTGTGAGGAGGGAAGGGGAATATGACCACAGCCCTGTAGCTTTGTTTGTTTCTAATTTTGGGAGTATGACACAGATAATGGTGCCCTAATGTTAGTAAATCTGCCCCTTGGAAGAAAGGAATCTGGAATACTTTTACCTTTCTAGAGTAGACAACAGTGTGAGTTAACGTGTGAATGTGTATGATCTGGCAGATGTAGCAGGTATAGGGTGTAGGGGTGTGTGTATATGTATAGATAATATTTAGTGTGTAGCTTCTGGACTGTGATAAACATACGTTCTTTCTTATTTTCCCTGTAATGCCTGTATGCGTCTTGAGTCAGTCTTTCTCACCTACACCAGGTTTTACAGTTTGGTATTTCAATTAGCATTCTGAAGAAATTGCCCAGCTTTTTACAAACCCATGTTGTGGGAGGGTGTACTAAGGAATGCTGTGCAGCTATTTCTAAAAACTATGTAGGTCATAGCCTACATTTTAATTAATTATGTAAACATTATTTGACAGTTGTCTTCTCTGATGAGATATAACCCTCCTAAATCCTTCTGCAGTGTGTTGCTGCCTCTGAGCATACTACTCGTTTCAAGTCAAAGTTTTACTAAATCAAGTAAATCAAGATGATTTTAGTCAGATACAAACCCTGAAGCCCATGATAGAAGGCTGTAAGAATCTTGGCTTTATAATGAATGCTGGGTTAGTAAGCTCTTCAGATAAGCCACCCTAGAAGTTCTAATTCACTTAGTTCACCTTCTCCAATAGCAAGACAAAATGAAAGTTTAGCCAGGTAGTATCCTTTTTTTTTTCAACTACAGCCTGCAAATTCTCTGGCCAAATTAAAATTGGTGGTTTGGGTAGGGAGTAAATGCAGATCCTGATTCTGGTTTTAGATTGCTGCACAGAGTTAGAGTTTAGGAATTAATATGAGGGGGCATGGTGGTGTTTGAATTAGCTGAAACGCAACAATAGTAAATACAACTAGCAAAATGCAAAACTCTGCAAAAACTGCTGCACACTGAGACATTGAGAATTTCAAAAGGCTTCCATTCCCCAAAATTCATGTGGCTTTAGTGCAGTTATAGAAGTGACATAGAGCTGGGCTGCACTCTTTGTTGGAGAGAAGGGGTCTGCGCATCAGTCTGTTGGTAGAGTTTGTGACCTGTCTTCCTGGTCTCTCTGGCTAGCACAAGTAACTAATTTGGTTTCATTTGAATAGAGTGGTTTGTGAATGCTGTGGCTTTTACTAGCGTTTTTCCTGCCTTTATGGCAACTTTCTTCTGTGCGTAGAGCAATAGACCTCTGCAGAAAGGAATGAACTGGAAGGGTGCTTTGTTCCATGCCAACATTGTTCCAGTATGTCCTCATGAAGGAAATGATTTGGGCTGAGAAGAGCGCTCGCAGCTCTAAGTACGTGTCATTCTTTCTCTTGAGCGAATGAACAAAAAAGAAAAATCTGGAGGAGGGAGCCTGGTGCTTTTGCTGCTTTATTAATTCTTCTCTGAAGTCTACTGACTTATCAGCCCAAAGTCAGAGTGCAGCAGGGCACAGTGAGTCAATGTCCACCTTACTGTTGTGCACCTGGAATACAAGAGATTTTTTACGAAGAGCAGAAGAATGACGTGGGATGGGTAGCTGAAGCCATTGGGTGTTATCTGACCACATGCATTTATAAATGACAGCAAATCAGTAGTGAGAGTGTGGGAACAGAAGCTAGAATTGCTCACTTCTTCTATTTAGTGCTGTTTGGATCTGAAACTTCCAGATGTGAATGGAAACTTCTTATGTATCAGCGTAAAAGGCCCAGTCATGCATTTAATGTGCTTGTTGGTCTTTCAATGTTTGCGTATCCTGGTTTGAGATGGCTTTAATGTTGCCTAATAATGGTTTACATATTTGCTACCTCTAGATAACTTTTTGGTGTATTTGACTTCCCTGTTACCTGTCTTATCCTTTGTCTTTTCTTGCAGTCGGGTACCTGTCACCAAGCAGTCTTCCGTTTTGAATTATTTGAGAGCAGCATTCAAGAGTCTGCTTTAAGAAGATAAAACGTGTGAGTTCAGTTTCTACTTCTGTCATCAACTTGCCTTTGTGCCTATTTATCTTTCAGTTAGTAAATTGCTGCAGTTTCTTAAGTAGCTGCGTACAGATTAAGGTGTTAGAAAGTCAAGTCATCCCTATCCTATATGGAGGCTTAAGATTCTGTATCACTTTTTATATGATTTGGGGTTGGTTTGTAATATTAATCTTTTCTCATCCCAAACATGTCTGTATCAGTACTATTTATATAAGAATGTATCTGTAAAACATACTGTGGTTAAAGTTCTAAGCTGCTCTGTACCTATTTGCAGGGAGCAAAGTGCAAATGGAAACTACGGAAAGTCTAGTAGTGCCTTATGGTGATTTCCAGTTAGTTCTAGACCAGTCTTGCAATGATCTCTAGGGGCAGGAGGGTGGTTTGCAAGCAGTTTGTTCAGGATTGGGTCTTACCTTCTTCAGAAGATGTAGTATCTCACATCTGAAACATACAGAAAAGCAGGTTTTTAAAAGGCATTGCATTTATTTTCAAAAGCAAGTATTGAAATAATGGAAAACTAAGTTGGAAGGGATGTGAAGAGGTTCTCTAATTCACATAATGCTGAATGACATATAATTTCTGATATGTAACTGTTCTTAAAACTTTCAGGAGGGAAGGTGTCACAACACTTGCCAATTTATCTAGTGCTTGAATAGGCTTATTAATAGAGGGTAAAACTTATTAGTTTAAAGTTTTCCTTACAGTTTTCCTTCAAGTTTACACTCAGAGGAGTTTGTTTAGTTCTTCTTCATTCTCTGATAAAGTAATCGTTCCAGCTTGAAAGTAAAAGGAATATCCAGGCCACTGTGGGAGAAACTATTGGACACTAGGTCGTTGCACAAGAGCTGTAGGTTGGTTCTGCACTGACTCTTGTTCCTCCGCTGTCTGCTGTGTGTATGTATGGATTTCAGTGTAAAAGAAATTCTTATCTTCCATTTGCTCAGGAGCTAAATTCCCCAAAGGCAATTTTAAGGAGTAGCCAGGTTTTAGGATGAGATTCTTGGGGGTTTTTTTGTGTGGTGTCATCCCTCTCCCCATCTTGTCTTCTGGGCCAGAAAGCCAGTAAGGTCTTCACGGACAATGTTACTCTCTTTGATTCTTCACTCTTCCTTTGTTTGTTCTTCTGTATAGTGACTCTGCATATTGGGCAACAAGTTAAAGCATACTTCCTGGATTGTAAAAATCCACAATGTAGCTTGTGAGGTAAAGGATTGTTCACTGGTTGGCCTAGAGAGTTTAACCAGATCTGAACTTTGATCTTTAATGTTCAGCCTTCAATCAGCTTGTGTCTGCACTTAACCACATTCTTCTTTGGTTTATTTTTGGGAGGAGGTATCATTTTGGTGTCAGGTAGAAAAGGAAGTTGGGCTGTGAACCTTGCAAGTATTTCTCTGAAGCACATGACTACCAAATTAGCTAGGTTGTGTATGTCTAGGTCCTGGTATTACTATGCAATACGGTGGTGTCCCAAGATGTGATATGAGCAGTGATGGGAATAGTTAAGCTTAGGATGGCTGGTGTCTCACACCACAAGACACTGCATATATTCAGCAAGGTGCTGTTTTCAAAGCAACAAGCTTTGAAAGTAATGCTATATTGTTGTGAGTATTTTTATTTCTTAACGTACTTTTTTTTTCTTTTCCCCCTTATCAGTGCAATTTATAGTACTCCTTTTATTCATACTAGTGCTATGATTAATTAAACTTCTATATTACTATAAGAATATAGAATTAATAATCCAAATACAGGTTGCTCCTCCCAGATGGTACTGAGTGATGGTACAGAGAGATCGAACGTGCAACAACAGAGAATGGAGTGTGATTCTTGGGGAGCTGTCGGATGGTCCCTAGGAGGAAGCAAAAAAGGGAGATGCTTAATCAGCGTTCATGCTGTGAGAGCTTGTTCAACAAAGGAATTGGTGGGCAGAGAATCGGAAGTGGGTGGGCAGAGAGAAAGAGAGGAAGTCTGTATTGAAATCACAGTCACTTCTTTCCACTTTGGGAAAAAGTAGTGGTTAGCATTCTTATACTCTGTTAGGAAATAACAAGCGGTGGAGGAAAGTTGCATTCGCAAACTCATTGAAACTTTGTTAAGCAGCAAAATTGGCAATCTTGGACATATTTGAGAGTTGTAGAAGCTTTGAGTTGGACATAGTTAATTGTTTGGGGTTTCTTCTTCCTTCAATGTAACCTTTTTTTAAAATTCCAAATAACAGCAGAGAGATATAGTCTTTTTTTAAATATTTGGGTTTCACCACAAAACAGGCACGTTAGTTAGCAACTACCATGTGGCCTATCATACTGTTTGATTATTTTCTTCCAGGAGAACGAGAGGGATCTAAAATACTATTCTTGGAGAATTGGGAGAAACTGCTAGTATAGCTTAGTATAATAGCTTAGTATACTAATAAAGATGCCTCATGTCCCTTTTGTAGGATTTTTAACTTACAAAGAAGAATTGGTGGTGGCAAAAAGTGTAAAAACTACCCTGTGAGAAGGAAGAGGGAAAGAAGTAACAACAACGAAATCAAGGTTAATACTATCAAAACCAAATACCAGTCAATAAAAAGGTGCATTTTACTCTATTTATCTTGTTGCTTTCTGTCTTTTGTTATAATTTTCTCTATATTATATTTTAGATACAATGTCTGCTCCAAGTGGTGCCCCTATCCCATCTGCACCACCTTCTTATGAGGAAACAGTAGGAATCAATGTGAGCTATCCTCACCCCTATCCTGTCCCAGAACATGGCCAGAAACCTGATGGGAAGGGAATGAACCCTCCCCCATACATGGGACAGCCTGCGGCAGTGAATAACCCCGGTAAGCCTCAAAAACTCTGCCCTACCTCATGTTAAGGAGGTGTCAAGTGGCTGTGTGTGATAGATGCTGTGCAGAAGATGAAAGATTGTGGTTCACAGGTGTTCTCTACCTCCCAGAAAATATTTTCAAAGGGAATGAGGTGAATCAATTCTTCCGAATCCTTCAGTGTGAACTAGTATCAATAACATCATTTGTCTTTCTGCAGTTTCTAACACAACCTTATTCTTAACAGTGTGTTTCTGCATTAGGAGATACTGTGGTGATTTCTCTTTATCATTGTGCATTTCATTGCTCTCAAATATTTCATAGTAATAGCTGGTTCTAGCTCAGAGGAAGTTGATTAACTATCCTTTTTTCCTCATCCATTGAGTAAACAGCATATTTCTCTGCTCAGTTACAGTTCAGACAGTGTTAGTGCAGCAACCAGTAGTATTTTATGACCGCCCGATTCAGATGTGCTGCCCCTCCTGTAACCAGATGATAGTGACACATCTCTCGTATGACTCCGGAGCTTTGACTTGGCTGTCATGTGGTGGCCTCTGCCTGCTGGGGTAGGTTGATTGCAATTTGCACTTTATTTCTGTCTTTTTATATGACCTTTTATAGCTCTAAGGAATAATAAAGCTCTCAAGTTTGTTGCTTCCTTGTTCTGTCTGGGACCTGACCTTTTATGGTTTGAATGGCCTACATCTGCATTTAAGTCTTACATGACCTTAAAGCAGCTCTAGTACACTAGAGTGATGTGCTCCATAGCCATGTGTGTTCTTCCTGTAGCTTCACGGCACCAGTTTTACTGATGGCTTTTGCAGGAAATACATTTTTACCTTGTTGTGTAACACTGTTTGTTTGTTTGTTTGTTTTTCTTTGCAGGTGTATAGCCGGCTGCTGCTTAATTCCCTTCTGTGTTGATGCCCTAAAGGATGTGGATCACACCTGTCCGAAATGTGGAGTTCTTATTGGTTCTTACAAACGCTTATAGGCAGTGTTTGAACGCTGATAATTGATTGATGAAGTTGGTTAGCACCTCTACAAGACCTTTCTGAAGCTTCACGGAGACTTCTGGTTGTTTCTATGCATTCTATCACTGGAAACCAATCAAAAGGAATGATTATTGCTAGATTGTTTGAATAAGAATTTGCTTGAGCAGATTCTGATGTAGGTCTGTAAAAAATACACGTTATCTTTATAGGCCACTCAGTCCAGCACCAGCTGATAGCAACTAAATTTTTCCCCTTTCTGCTTTATGCAAAACAGGTTTGTGATGTTCTTCAGTTGATCTTGTCTCAGTGATGTTGCACACTGGTGTGCTTGCTTACAGTCTGGGCACAGACCAAGAGGAGAATGTCTATGGAGACCCATGTAATAGTCTCATGGTCGATGTTGATGCTTTTGCAACAGCACTGTTTACAAACTGGTAGGAAGCTGCTTGCCTCTGAGACAGGTGCCCCACTCTGACAAAAGAATTGATTTGTTGGAATCTTTTCATGAGCACTAAAATTCACTTTAAAACTTTCTTAGTTGAAAGAGAACCAAACCTAAAGGCTTCTTCCTTCATGGAAGCTGATTTACCAAATGGACAACTCAGGTTATTGTGCATCAATGGTGATTCAATCTAGTACCTGAATTTCCTTGCCAGTTTCAAGTCCAGTCATATCTCTGCTCTGTAGTAAGGATTTTTATACAGGAATTCTTAATTTCAATGGATTTTGGTTGGTTGGATTCTTTTTACTGCTGCTTTATGAGTCTGTGAAGTGTTTTCTCCAGCCCAGTGGAGCCTTGGTTACAGCATTGGAAAACTTCCTTGTATCTTTACATGAGTCAACTGATAACTCATAAACAGAGTTCAGCCTTACCTTAAGGCTTGAATTCCACCTGTAAAACACAGATACGGGACCTGGGCTTTTAGTTGTTGATCTGTTTGTTAATTACTGTTTCTTCATTAAGAAAGTAACATGTTTGTTAAGAAGGTTCTCTCATGATTATTTAGACTTGTACTCTGATATTTTTTTAAATGATTTTTCTAAATGAAAGAGGAGTTTTGTTTTCAGAAACTTAAGATGGATGTGCTTATTTAAGGTGATGATCACAAAAAAATTAGGGAATGAGGCTCTAAAGGTTGAAGTATTTTACCATGTCATAAGCAGCAGACTTGGTCTAAACACCATCTAGATGCTTTTGAATGATACCTGTCTAGAAAAGGCAGACAGGTGATTGAACAAGGCTATGATGCTAACACTGTATTAATCTCTGTAAAAGTAAAAAAGCTAAAATAAATACAAATAAAAATTATTGCATTTACTGTCCTTGCTGAATGTGCCTTCTGTAAGTCTTTGGTATAAGTTAACTTTTCAAAAGTCTTTTCAACACTTCACATTTGTAATCCAGGAGTTATGGATCACAAATACAACCTCTAGGCCTGGTGTTAATTACTTTTTGTAAATTGCTGCTGATTGTGCATCCATCTGCAAGTGGTTTAAAAGCTTCCTTATGCATTTGGAAAAGCTTTCTGATCATGTCTCCCTGCACCATAAGAATTTACATCAGTAGCTGCTAACAGACAAGAGAATGATAGAGGTAAAAAGGTAGTTTTGTAGCTTTCGCGTTGATGCTGTGGTACTATCTTGTGTGTGTCTGCTGCTGCAGCACTCTAACACTTCCTGTGCTCCTGAAGGGCTGGGTGAAGCTCCATGAAATGTTGTTGTGATGCCACAGGCAGTGGTTCTAACCTGCAGAAGTCACGAGCGTTACTGTTGAGGAGTATTTCCCCCCACTGGATTTCACAGCAAATGTAGTTCTTGTCAGTTTATCATCAGAGCAAGACAGGAGGCAGCAGTGAAGCATGCGCTGTTTGCTTGCATGGGGGGGAGGATTTTTAGTTGGTTTAGTACCCATGTCAATCTGGTCTGGATAATCCTGCTGTGTATTCATTTGGTAAGTCTTCAAATTGTTACTCCCATAGGTCCCCTTTTCCCTACAAAGTGATGGTTGGAAAATCTGAGGTGGTGGCACCAGAATGCAGAACACTGCCCAAAAAGATAATTATGTGGGGTTTTCTTTGTTTTGTTTTATGGGCACAGTCCATTGCATGTCTTTAAATTCCGTGTATGGATTGAGAATAGCAGACATAGTGTTGGCAGCCATTCCATCTAATTAAGCATTCTGCAAAAGTTTCTGCTGCCCCTTCTATACTTAAATTTCCTTAAATACAAAGCCTGTGTTTGTTCTCTTGTGTATGGAATTATCTACAGAATGTGCCAAAGTAACTTGCTTTGTTAAACTTATTTTAGACAGACAAATGCAGGATATAACTTGCTTTGTGTGAAAGTGCATTGTGTTTGATTACGTTGAATTTACTGTTTGTTTTTAAAACTGATAATATATAAAATAAAAACTTTGTCTTTTCTATCTAGTGCTTGTAATTGGAAAACTATAACGTGTGGAATGTTTCCAAACACAGGAATGGCTGAAATGTTAAAATTAAGTCAAGAAATATAATTCGAGGGTGAAATTTTTCAGTCTCACTTGGGCCAGGTCTCTGATAAATGGCATTCTCTGGCCTGCAAACCAAATGTTTACACACAAAGCCACATCTGAAAATGTGTTGTCTTCCTGCAACTTGGGCCCTTTAAATATATTTTTTTTTCAGTTAAAACTCCTTTGGGTAAACCTTTCACTTGCAGTACAACTAAACAAACACATAGATATGGATACACTTTTGCATACCAGTGACCAGCAGGGAGAGAATAGATATCAAATATCATGATGCTTAGTTGGAAAGAATCCCTGTTTGTCATGTGAGAATACCCTGCTTTTTTTAATGTCTGAAGAACTTTTTTTCTTTTCTTTTTTTCTGAGGCACAGAAAATACAGGAAGGCAAGATTAATACCTTGATCAAAATTGTTTTAATGCATTGATACTTACTATTTTTATTAAGCAACTCTTTGGTTAAAGTAGAGTCGTGAACACATAGTTTTTCCTCTCTTGATAGAGACAGAAATGGGGTGTTGATGTCATGTGCTCGTGTGGTTTCTGCAAATAGCCAGGGAAGGGGTGTAGGCCATCTGAAATCCTCCAGCCTCGAAGGAGAATTTTGGGTGAAGCCTTCCCCTACTCCCACCTTCATTAACTTTCCAGGATGACGTTGCTTTCTGTTACGCTTTGACAGTATTATTTCCATTGGACTTCTATTTTTAATTGACAGAAGTTGCACAATGTTCAAACTTAGTTAATTCTGATGAGGCTTGAGCCAGAAGGAAATAAGATTTGTTTTGTCATGGAAAGAGGATCCGAAATAAAACCTGTTAAAACAAGTAGAAAGCAGCTGATAATCTTACAAGAGGGAGTTGTTAAGCAAGAGCAGAGTGGTTTCAGGAAGCTGCTATTTATTGCAGTGTTTGTGAAAGCACTTCTGTCAGTCTAACCACCAGTTCTTTTTTGAAGAAATGAGTTGTGATTTGTGTACTCAAACCCAGGTAATTATTCTTCATAACGGAGCAGCAAAAGGTGAGTAATGGAGTACACACTGTCATACTGGGGATAAAAACTGAGAAGTAGAAGCACTGCGTACAAAGGTGTGAAGTGTTTGTAGTTCAAGTGAATTGTATTTTATTGCAAATTAAACTTTGTGTTCCTATTTTCTTTATAAGATCCTGCAACGTGATACAAATTAATTTTAGGATGGCTTTTAATGTATTTTCTTGAGGTGAATACCCTTGTGTATGATGTGCTGGACGTGAATCCAGTACACAAATAAATTCTCTGATTTGGCCAAATCAGGGCACCAAAAGGTGCATGTTCTGAAACCTGTTGGTTTCAAAGGAAGTGCTTCTTATTACCCCTTTGATTTTTTTACAAATATTTTATTATTTTTTTCTAAATAATTTGAAAATGTAGTGCCTGTTTGGACAGGTGGCTGTGTGGTTTGGAGATACTAAAAGTAGTCGAGCGCAAGTCTAGAATAAACCATGAGTGAGTAGGAGGCTTTTTGAACGTCCTTTTGTGGTTGGATGTTTTTCTTCATGCAACATCTTGCTCTTTGCAACCAAAAAAAAAAAAAGGGGGGGGGGGGGGGGAAGTGCTACTTCAATGAGCTCCAGAGGATTATTGCTTTATTGGTAGAGGGGTCTGGAGCACAAGTCTTATGAGGAGCAGCTGGGGTTGTTCAGCCTGGAGAAGGGTCTGAGGGGAGATCTTGTTGCTCTCTGCAACTGCCTGAAAGGAGGGTGGGGGGAGGTCGGTCTCTTCTCCCAAGTCACAGGTGATGGGACAAAAGGAAATGGGCTCAGGTTGTGCCAGATTGGATATTAGGAAAGACTTCTCCATGGAAAGGGCCATCAAGCATTGGAACAGGCTGCCCAGGGATGTGGTTGAGTCACCCTTCCTGGAGGTATTTAAAAGACGGGTAGGCGTGGGGCTGAGGGACATGGTTTAGTGGTGGGGTTGGCAGTGGTAGGTGTGTGGTTGGGCTCGATGATCACCGTCCCTTCCAGGGCGGGCGATGGTGTGGCTCAGGAGGCGCCGGGCAGACAAAGGATCCCAAGCTCTGGGGCACGCGCGGGTGACAAAGGGGCTCCCCGCACGCGCTGGGGGGCGGAGGGAGGCACAAGCCCAGAGCAATTTCCAGCTCCTGTCCCACGAAGCCCTTTCTCCTGGCCTCGGCGGGACGAGGCGGTGGCAGAGCCTGCCCGGCCCGCTCTGTCTCTCGGCAGCTCGTTGTACGAAACTTTCCAGGTGGGCGAGATCCCCATTTTTGGTGCTTTTCGGAGGCCGGTTCCGCGGGGGTTGCAGCACCGCCCGCCGCTCCTCGCTGCGGCTCGGGGCAGGGCCGGGGGGCTCCGTCCCGGGCCGGGCCGCCTCAGCCCCAGCGCGGCCTTCGCGCCTCCTTCCCGCGGCAGGTCTCTCGGCTTCCCCGGCGCCAGGTGAGGGCCACCACAGGGGTCGGCCCGTCGAGGGGCTTGCGTGGAGCGGGGCCGCTGCCGCCGAGCGCTGCCAGAGCCCGGGGGAACGCCGTTCGTCCCTTCATCGTTTCGTTTCCTCTTAGCAAACGGCCTGAAAAATGTACGTGTCTCAAAGTGCTTCTCCGTTTTGGGGCTTGCTTTTTTTTTTTCCCCGCTGGGAAATAATGTCTTTGGAACCCTTTCCCCGAAGCCCTGCTCTGGGAAGGGATCTGTTCTGTGAGGGCCTCTCCCGGCCGCAGGCCTGCTCCGGCGGCGGTAGGTGCGGCGGGGCTCTCGTCGGGGTTCTCGTCAGGGCTCATTTTGGGGTGCAGAACTGGTGAAATCTGTCAAGAAAGCGAGCAGTTGTAAGGGCCGGTCGGCGGGCGGGCTCGGGGGGTGCAGCAGCCCCTGCCGCCATTTCGCGGGCGGCGCGTGCAGGTGCTGGCACTTGGAGGCGCCATTTTGGGGCAGGGCCTGGGGCACTTTGCACCCGCCTTTGGCTGCTGGGGTTAAAGGGCACCTTTCTAGTCATATTAATTTAAAAGACCTTGTGAGGCCTTGTTAGAGCTCAGATTTTCTTGGCAATACTAGTGTAGAGTTTCCAGATGTCCATGGGCATCCTTACTCTGTTGTCTGCTAGATGGTATTTTTGATTAAATTCATTCTGCAACTTTGAGTACAATATCTATTAAAATAAATGAATACTTTTTTCAGACTTACTGCCACTATTGGTCTCCTGTGGGTCATTAAGCCAGTGTCTTTGCAGCACACATGCTTGATTTTCTCCAATAGTGTAAGATTATCTAGGGCAGCACCACGGTGGATATTTCTCTTTGGGAGGTTCTTTGCTGGTTTTGGGGATGGTGGTTTAATTTTTTTCAGAGAAATCTCATCTCGGGGGGAGGTAGGGGGAAAAAAAGTGCTTAAAACGTGTTGAGCTTGTTTTTCAGTGTTGGATTGCATCTTGCACTTGACAAGCTTACTCAAATGAGTGAAATAAGTGCACAGGACACTTATGTCATGCTGTGTTTTATCTTAAAGATTTGATTTCAGCGTGCATTTAAGAGTCTGCTGCAAATCAGACGTTTAATTTCTAGCATAGAAGTTTCAATGCAAAGGGCCCCAAATCTGTGATATACTGAAAAAAGCTATTTGAATTTTGGACAAAAAAGCCCTGGAGTTTCATTTGTGAGTTTCTTTGTTCTTTGGTGTATGAAATTGTCAAGATTGAAGCAAGCTCTGATTTATAAATTCTTGGGTGTGCTCATACACCTGCAGTAAGATATTTTTATTTGGTTTTATTATTATAGTTTCTTCCCTAAGAACTGGGAAGCCGCAAAGTTAAAGCTTGAAATTAAAATGCAAA